TCCTCCTCGCTGGGGTGGCGTTGGGCCCGCGCGGGCGCTAGAGTGACTGCTGCTCTCAGCTCTCCGCCTCCGCCCCGCGCGGCCTCCCGTCGCTTTGCACAGGGCTGGATGATTGCACCGAGTAGGGTGGCTCCAGGATGTTAGGAACTGTGAAGATGGAAGGGCATGAGAGCAGCGACTGGAACAGCTACTACGCGGACACACAGGAGGTGAGAAGCGTGCAGGCGGCGGAATATTCCTGGTGTCTACCAGGGGAGCTGGGGAAAGGCGGGCACCGGGCAGGGCGGGTGACTGGCGGGCTAGAGGAGCCTCCTCCGTGTTAGGACTGCCTGCCAGGTATAGCTCCTATCGCCGGAGAAGATAATTTTAGGAAACTCCGGACTTTGGAAGTACCGGCTCTGGAAATCGCTAGCCTCTTCCCAGCGGTGAGCGGGAGCCAGATCCGAGTCTGGGGTGCCGCGGATTGGCGGGCGGACGCCGGCAGGAGTTGGAGGCAACTCTGAGAAAGCCAGAGCGCGCCTGCAGGGTGACCTTATTGTCCCGTCCTTTAGTTCGCAGATGTCTCCTGATGAAAGCACTCTGCCATTAAGTTGGTCTTCTTAATAATGAAACGATTCTGAAATTGTGTTAAAACTTGTTCTTGAAAAGCCCTCTTTGGGGAGAAGTGTGTGCATTCTTCTGTAAAACCACTGGGTGGCGATAATGCAAATTGGATCTTCCTCCAGCGCTCAAGGCCAGTTTGTCTTCATTGTTCCCTTGGTGGCACGTTCATTGGGTTTATTTTACAATGTGTACTAAATGATTTTAAGAAAAACCAGGTGCAGGCAGGGGCACTACCTACTAAAAACATTTTTTTTTCTGGAAACAGCTGGTGATAATACAGAAAAAAAAATATTTACTATTGAAACTGCTTTGGGTAATCTTGGAATAGGATGAGTGAGTAAACCATCCCCCCCCAAAACAATTCTTTAGGATGTGGACAGATAATTATAGAATCAGAAAGTATGTCCATGGATAATTCATTTAGATTTGAATATTTATATATTTACAAACTTAACTCTGAGTTTATTTGCATGCCTTATGTACTGTATTCCTACTTAAATCTATTTGTTCACCTTTTATGTTGTCAAATGGTGTCATATTTGGTGAAGAAAATAAATATAAAGGCATCATTAGTCTTTATTAAGCGACTAGATAGTTTTATATATTTCTGTTGTTGTTAAGTGCCATCGAGTCGGTTCCGACCATAGCGACCCTGTATAGGGTTCCTGAAGAGCAGTTGGTGAGCTAGAACCTGTATAGATATTTAAAATCTAGGGCAGTCCCAAATTGCTACTGAGAAGAGTTTTCAAGCTTATTAAAGAGAGCTCAGAATCCTTCTAAAGGTTTAATTCTGATGGCAGTCATTTCCACTCAGTGAGTGTCCCAGCAAAAGAGCTTTCTTATGAGCTAAAGCTGAGAATTAGGAAATAAATTACATTAAGAGAAAGTAAGTAGAGCCTGATTTTAGAATTTTCATTTTAAACTACTCATGTAGTTAGAAAGGGCAGAGTTTGAAATGATCAACGGCAGTATATTAATAGGTCAAACAATAGATGGCTGTTTCGACAAATTGTGTCACCATATTTTTTCTAACGTCAAAGGACTGGAAGGAAATAGGCGAAATTCATGCAAGTTTTCATAAGACTTGCAGAGATGCATGCGCGATAAAAGTCATGCTAAACTTGAATGTCCATATTGCACTAACATTATATACTCTTCACTGTCACTTCTACTATAAGTTTATTTATCATTTTATTTTTCCAAATCTCATTTAACGTCTGAGTTGTTTCCAGTTTAATATTAAAGTTGCTACAAGTAGGTAGGAAAGCACTACTTTTTAACTATAATAAACAATAAGTCACCATTTGGCGAGAGCTCCCAGGACAGTAAAACCTGGCATTGGCAAATGAATGATTCAGGGGTCATACGGCCATGGGCGATTGCTCTATCAAGGAGCGTTCAATGAACAGCCACTCCGGGCAGCCGAAGCCATTGCGCGGTCAGCCTGCCAGCTCCAGGGAGATGGATGCAGAACTGGGGCACTGTTTTCTACCCCGTGGGACTGTGCCACCGAGCCCACCGCACCCTTAGGTGGAGTAAATAAGCAAGGAATCAAAGGTTAATTACATTTTCGAAGTTTTAAAGAGATTTGCCCCCAAAGACCGGTCTTGGGTGGAGACTGGGTTACTGCTAGGTTGTAGATATTGGAGGAGAAAGGAGGGACATTGGAAGCCTGCCTCTCAGCCATTCGAGAAAGGCGGTGATTACACGTCTTCCCGGGAACATATTTTCTGCTAGTGCTTGTCTTTCATGCGTGCTGCGCTAGGATTTCTCCCCTGCGGTGCAAAACCTCGTTTTACTCTATCGAAAGAGGGCGCCTGAAAGTTTGCCCCGGTTGGAGATCCCTTGATTTACAAAAATGCTGTACTCTTGTTCTTGGGTTTGCCCTGAGCCAGCCGGGCGCCGGCACCCACCACTAACTCTACCCTCCGGGGGCTTTCCTTATCACTGTCTCTGCTCCAGGCGTATTCCTCGGTCCCGGTCAGCAATATGAACTCGGGCTTGGGCTCCATGAACTCCATGAACACCTACATGACTATGAACACCATGACTACCAGCGGCAACATGACCCCGGCCTCATTCAACATGTCCTACGCTAATCCTGGCCTGAGTGCCGGCCTGAGCCCGGGCACCGTGGCCGGCATGCCTGGAGGCTCGGCGGGGGCCATGAATAGCATGACGGCAGCGGGCGTAACGGCCATGGGGGCGGCGCTGAGCCCAGGAGGCATGGGAGCCATGGGCGCACAGCCGACGGCCTCCATGAACGGTCTGGGCCACTACGCGGCCGCCATGAACCCATGCATGAGCCCTATGGCGTACGCGCCGTCCAACCTGGGCCGCAACCGTGCTGGAGGCGGAGATGCCAAGACCTTCAAGCGAAGCTACCCGCACGCCAAGCCGCCATATTCATACATCTCGCTCATCACCATGGCCATCCAGCAGGCTCCCAGCAAGATGCTGACGTTGAGTGAGATCTACCAGTGGATCATGGACCTCTTCCCCTACTACCGGCAAAACCAGCAGCGCTGGCAGAACTCTATCCGCCACTCGCTCTCCTTCAACGACTGCTTCGTCAAGGTGGCGCGCTCCCCGGACAAACCGGGGAAGGGCTCTTACTGGACGCTGCATCCAGATTCCGGCAACATGTTTGAGAACGGCTGCTACTTGCGCCGCCAGAAGCGTTTCAAGTGCGAGAAGCAACCTGGGGCTGGTGGGGGCGGGAGCGGCGGCTCCAAGGGCGGCCCCGAGACCCGGAAGGACCCCTCGGGTGCTGCCAACCCTAGTGCCGACTCTCCCCTTCACCGCGGCGTGCACGGCAAGGCCGGCCAGCTAGAGGGCGCGCCCGCCCCGGGGCCTGCAGCCAGCCCCCAGACTCTGGACCACAGCGGGGCCGCGGCGACAGGGGGCGCCGCGGAGCTGAAGGCTCCGGCCTCATCCGCCGCGCCCCCCATTAGCTCAGGGCCCGGGGCGCTGGCATCTGTGCCCCCCTCCCACCCAGCACACGGCCTGGCACCTCACGAGACCCAGCTGCATCTGAAAGGGGACCCCCACTACTCCTTCAACCACCCTTTCTCCATCAACAACCTCATGTCCACCTCGGAGCAACAGCACAAGCTGGACTTCAAGGCATATGAGCAGGCGCTACAGTACTCGCCCTACGGCGCTGCATTGCCCCCCAGCTTGCCGCTCAGCAGCGCCTCTGTGGCCACCAGGAGCCCCATTGAGCCCTCAGCCCTGGAGCCGGCTTACTACCAAGGTGTGTATTCCAGACCCGTCCTAAACACTTCCTAGCTCCCAGGACTGGGGGTTAGTCTGGCATAGCCAAGCTGGTAGCAGGAGTGAAAAAACCCCAACAGCAAACAAAACCACAAATGCCAAGCCTACAACTACATAATCGTATCGAATCCCAACATCTATTTTTATTTCTATTTTTTTGTGCACGATCTTTCCCCCAGTGCAAAGGACTGTTACTTTGTTATTGTATTAAAAAAAAGTAAAACGATGTGTATATTACTTCAGACAACCAACCCCAATCAAAATTTTTCCCTGCAAAGTTTAACGATCCGATCCACGATTGTATATATAAAGTCCTCCTCCTTCCTTATTCCTTACTCTTCTCCCATATTTCTTCTTTCCCCTCCAGACACATTCTGGCCTGTGCAGAGTGTATTTTAAAAAAAAATGGTCAAGCTTGTAAAATATTTGTTTTGTGCTTCCCCACCCCCACCCTGCTCCTTACCTAACCCACACAAGTTTACAGGTCTGTGGCAATACTCTTAAGAATTGAAATGGTGAAGAAACACATAGACTTTAAGGGCTCTTAAAAGTATTGAAGGACAATACTCCTGTTATACAGCAAAACACAAGCAGATTATAAACATTAGAGCCATTTGCTTTTTCATTTTCTATGTCTGATAAATTCTGATAGCAGATGTCTTAAATGAAATGCATATATGCTGTGTATGGACTTAATTATGCACAGAACACATGTACAGATATTCTCCATATACATACATAATATATGGAGGAAATAAGTAGGTGATATACTTGCCACATTTTCAAGAGTTGCCAGACCAATAAGTTGCAAAGACCACCATCCTCAACCTTGTCCTTTCCACCCACCTATGGCCTTGAGAATCAATTGCTCAAGAATTGCCTTCCTCAAGAACTCTGTTCCTTGTTTTGCAAAGTCCCATGATCATGTCATTTTGAGGTCACATAACACGTATAAAAGTAGTTTCTATGTATGTATATCATTTAAAGAATATTTTTTCCAGGATAAAAAAAGGACTATTACAATGTTGGAGGAGAGATGTTATAGGGAGCCGTATTGAAATATTTGGTCCAAGATTCAAAAATTCAACTGATTGTAGCCATTTTATTATTGCCATCGTGTTCTTGTTTCATCCAGTGTTAATGCACTTTCCACAGCTGGACATGGTGTTAGAATAGCCAGACAGGTTTCATTATAATTCCTCTTTGCTCTCTCTCAATGTTCTTAATTTATTGCATGGTTTATTCCTTTTTTTGTTTTGTTTTCTTTACAGCTGAAATTGCTTTAAATGATGGTTAAAATTACAGATTAAAATGTTAATTTTTATCAATGTGATTGTTGTAATTTAAATATTTTGATTTAAATAACAAAAATGAACACAGATTTAAGCCGTGAAATATGTTCTTGATCATTTGCGTTAAGGACTTTAAATAAAGCAAATGTTAACAAAAAGGATATTTGTTATTCTCTTTTACTGGATCATATCCAACGTGGATATTCTGAACATGATATTTTTCAAACTTCGGAACTGAATACAAATGACAAAAGTAAAATAATCTAAAACAAAACTGTCATTGTTCCGGTGATGTTTATTAAATGAACATATATAGTTAGTAAAAAGCATTAAGGAAAAATTAGTAAGAGTAGATAGATAAATTGATTTAATATTCCAGGAATTGAGATTTTTAAAGGTTTTTTATTCACAGTAATGTGTGCTTCAGTTTTTGACATGTGCTTAAGCCTTTTGTGTTTCCTTTTAGTGTTTTCACAATGATATCAAATATTATTAATTTAGCTACCTTCTTCCCTGCATATATCATTTCCCATTATCTCAGAAGTATTCAAGTGAGGATAAAATACAAATTAAGTTGTCTACAACAGAGAATCCTGAACCCTCTTCTCATTAAAAGAGAAACAAAACTTAATCAGAGTAGCTTTGGAGGGAATGGCAAGAGGGAAGGAATTCACTCGTGCAGAGGAAACACTGGGTCACATTCCAACAGAGCTGCTACTCTGTATTTTATGAAGAGATTTTTTTAAATGTTATTTCCCAAAACATTGCTCCTAAAACTTATAACTGATGATTTATTTGACTTCTGTTGTTAGGTGCCTGTCAAGTCAGTTCTGAGTCATAGCCACCCTATTTACAACAGAACAAAACACTGTCCGGTACTGCACCAGCCTCACATTTCTTGCTGTGTTTGAGCCCACTGTTGCAGCCACTGTCAGTCCATCTTGTTGGTTGAGGGTCTTCCTCATTTCTGTGGACCCTTTATTTATCAAGCATGGTGTTCATCTCCAGGGAGTGATCCCTTCTGATAACATGTCCCAAGTATATGAGCAAAGTCTCACCATCTCTCTTCTTCCCAGACAGATTTGACTTCTAAGCAGCTTTAAAATGCAACTTCACACCCACACTGTTGCTTGGGATCACAAAATCATTAATCTCCTTTGATAGTAGGCTCACTTTCCAGTCCACCTATTTCTTTGTAAGTCTTGTGTCGATTTGACATCAATGGTAACAACATTAGCTCAAGCAGAGGCTGGCCTGCCTGAGCCCTTGTGTGTGAACTCCATTCTCGCCAGGGCTTGAACTTGAACAGCCTTTACTTTGATCACTCTACTCCGCACCACGGACAAGATAAAAAGAGCTGCGAGAGTCACTTAATGATGGCATAATTGCCTCCCAGGATGAGAGAAGGGACGCCATGTAACTAGTTGAGAACATTTCAGAAATCTCAAATCCCTGCTCTCACTTCAGCTAATAGAATTAGGTTGTTGCTGTTAAGTGCCCTCGAGTCGGTTCCGACCCATAACAACCCTGTATAGGGTTTCCGAGGAGCGATGGGTGGGGAAGGAGAAGGAAAAGACTGGTTTTCGAAATTTCAGAGCCTAATTTGTAGGCCTCGGAGGGACGTTAAAGCAAAACCAAGGGAAAATAACTCCAAGGGAAAAAAGCTTTGAATCCCAAAAGTAATTCACATTTAAACGGAGTCTAAACAAACGCTGGCAAATTTGGATTCAAATTGTAATATAAAGGCCTGTGTTTGCGCCTTGGAATTTCACCCGACCTCACTGATCTAAAAGCGTCTCACTTTTGTGCTGTTCTCGCGTGCTATTTCTCCTCTTCTTTAACAGACTAGCAGTATTAATGTCTTGCGTTCACCCCCCCCCCCAACCCGGCCTAAGTCTCCAAAGCGCTCGCTGTCTTACTAAGCGGAGACTTTTACCGGGGTTCTGGAGGACGAAGTGACCAGCCCCGCGGTGTTATGGCCGGAGCCACTTTGGAGATGGGTCTGTAAACTAGAATGATGGGGAGTCGGGATCATTTCTGCGCAAAGCCATCCTACAGGCCTCGCTCCCGCCTCACAGGTCTCCCACGATTTTCTGACCGAGCAGTCTGCCACCTCTAGGCTAGCCGCAGGCGCGCATTAAAAGCGCCCGCGGGTAGGGAGCCCAGGCAGCCGGTTGCTGGGGAAGGGGGTCAGAGGAGGACCGCAAGTATCTCGAGGTGACAAGTGCAGTTAGTTCTTCATTGTTTGGGCATTTTCCCCTTCTAGCGAATAAATCTTCTGTTGAGCCCGGAGACCTAAAAGTCAACAAAGAAGGCCGGGCGCCTCGTTACCGCTTCTGTGGCCACAACGGCCCGCGTTGCCGCGGCTGCTCCCGCTGCGTAATCCCTTCCTCGGAAACCCGAACACACAGGCACCGGAACGCCCAGGGCTGGAACGCCGCGCCCCAGGGCCAGGAGAAAAACATCTGTGGTTAGGAGGGAGTACCACCCCTCCCCCTTTTTATTTAGTCTTCTTGTTTCTATATTTCTTCACTTCGATGCTGCCGCAGACGAGTGCTAGAAAGGGGATCCTCATCGCACGTCCCCGGTCCATTGGACTCACTTTATTTAGGAATTTCGTGCGAGGTGGGGGAGGGGTTTCTGGAGGGAGGAGGGAGTGAGAAGGGAGTGAGAAGGGAAAGGCTTTCAACTGACCCAAGTGTAGAGCTCCAGAGGCCCTCTCAGTCCTCTGACAACAGCACCTCACAAACACTTGGGGGAAAAGAAAAGCAATGTTTTGGGAGTGAGTGCTTGATGCTGGGGAGGGAAGATTCAAATGTTACTTTCACCTTGTGTTTAGGAAGAGCGGACCTGAAATATTTTTGACACACTAAAAAACGAAAAGAAAACAAAACTAAAGGAAAGAAAAAAAGTCGTCAGCGCTGTTGAGCAGAACTAAGAAGCATTCCGAAGCAGAAGTCAGCTTTTGTCAGTTTTCTGCATAATGGCTAATACTCGATTTAAATCAAAGAAAAAACTTAATTTCCCATTGTCTTTTTTTGATCTGTCTCATAGAACAAACTGATGAGAATTACTGTGGGAGGAGGGATTAAAACAAGTAAAATCCTATTACAATTCTTAACTTCTGATTTCATTGTCTGAATGCTTGGATTGATTTCACTAACCAGGAATGATTTCACTAAAAGTACATTTAAAATTATTTCTCTCTCAGGATTCTAACAAATTGGAAAATAATTCCTGGAGTGAATTTTTAAAAGCTTGTTGTTTTGGATCTCAATTTCCATGAAAATGCTTATTAAAGTTCTTTTCAAAAAACTTCCACAATCAATACAGATTCTTTCCAATAAAGACTAAAGTTGGAGACCTACAATCCAATTTAATTAACCTCTCCTCAAGATCAATTGGTTTTCTGTTGATTTAGCGGTAATATTGTAGAACATTTAGCGATAATGTATTTTAATGTGATACCTCAATAATCAAGAAGGAAAAACTGAACAATAAAATTACTTAAATTACTTAATAGTTTATAAATGTGTAATGATAAATTTTTCAAAATAAATTTTAATTGCGTAAATTACAGTAAATAATGTTTTGCAGTTAAGTTAATATTATAACTGATTACATCAAGATAATTAAATGCAAAAAAAGATCATGTTTAAGCTACCTTTGGTTGAATAGGTAAATTTAGAAACACAATTGTCCCTAGACTAAAAGAATCATTAG